AGAGAGAGAGAGAGAGAGAGAGAACGAGAGACACCGTTACCTTGGTAACCTTTAGGAAATCATAGCTTAGCCTTGACTGCACCATGTGAATATCTGAGTCATGAGTAATGCTTGGAATCTATTCTCTTATTCTAAGAAAAAAAGAAAAACAAAAAAAGAGAGGAAAATCCAATTATTGGTAAGCAGTCAGGGTACATTCGTTCATTCTTTTTTTTTTTTTTTTATATTGAAAGTAGAAAAATGAGAAAACGGCTCCTTTTCCCTTAAAAACAAAAAAAAAAGAGAATTCAGCTTAAGTGAGCTCCACTCAATGAGGTCATAAGGAGCATTATGAAACAGATTTATCAGAAGATCACTGATTGGAGGATGCCTTAATCAATTATTGACAAGAATGAGAAATGTCCAACAATTAAGTTTCAAAACCGCTTGTCCCATGCTGGACTGCTGGGATGCTCACTTATTCATTAAAACAGATGAAGATTACTAGTAAAAAGGGAGCATGACACAAAAATAAACCCTTAAATGTATATACAAGCCATAGTGTATGTTAGCTTCTTTTCAATTAATTGACCAAACCAATTTACAAAAAGGTTCATTAAACTGGTCTGAATAAAAATGTTTATTCTTATAGGTACATGCAAATTAATGCTTCATTTGAGTAATGTTCCTCCCCATTGTAATAGCTTTCAATTCACAAATGTGCATGTTTAAAGTTGACACATTGTAATCAATCATGACACATGACAAGGACACTGACATCTAACCTGGCATGACATAAGAGTGTGGTAAGTAAATTATGAAAATGTATTATTTTAGGTGGACTATTCTTCATTTTTTTCATATCTTCACCTGTTAGCTATAATGTTGCAACCGGAAATTCGTTATTGTATTATATTATATTATATTATCCTGCTTAATCTGTGTACACACAAATCACTGAGAACTGAGTACGCTAAATTCAGAGCACATCATCAACAAAATGCAAGAACTGGCCAGATTTTAACAGCTATGCAGAACATTTTGACAATGCTTCAAAACATGGAGCTCATTTTTCGACACTTTGCACCGATGCTTCTGGGTACCTTGAGACAAAACGCAAGTTAGTTAGCAGTCGCTGATCAGAAATGCATCTCTCAGCACCTCACAGCATTTGAAGTAATCGTTCACACAAAAATGAAACATCTGTCATTATTTAGTCATATCCTTCCAAAATGTTTGATGTTATTTCTTTTGTTGATCACAAAAGAATAATGTTTTTGCAGCTCCTTCCCATATAACAACCATGAGTGTCAAGGTCCATACAAAAAAAAAAAAAA